GTATTTTAAATGTATAGAAAAAGACAAAACTTTCACCCAGAACAGGTTACCAAATATCCTTAGAGTAAACCAAAATGCATACTACCATGAGAACCCAGTCAGTATTTTTTATGCCAACTTGAAGTCTTCAACGTTACACTTTGTACCCTGAAATTCTCTCACCACTTCATGCACCAAATCTCCAACTGTCTCCGGGGTTTATCCTGCTGAACCCTTATACCTTGAATTCACCCTACTCCCACCCAAGTCCATTTTTCCTTACTTTTATTAATGACACCAACATTCCCAGAATGGAATTTTTCTAACACTGACCCACAAGTCTGACCCACTGGCTGAACTGTTCAGAGGTGCTCTTCACCCTGGAATTCCCCATCTTCCTGGCTGTGACCTTGATCTGAGCCATATGACCTCCCACCCGGTCTTTTATTCCCGTCTTCCTCATGCAGTCCCTTCCGTCACAGTAAGCCCTCTGAAGAAGTTCACTTGAAAATGGTAAGAATTAAATGTAAAAGTCCTTTAGTCATATCCTCCCCCTTCCCAGCCGGAATCTCTTTCCATCTTGCCTCACACTGCTTCACCATGTTCCCACAAGAGCCCAGGGCACATTCCTCCTCAGTGCTTCTATGATGACACGCTCTCCCCACCTGAACAACTTTAAGCCATCACCACCTGTGCAAAGTGCAGTCTAAAACTTATTCACGCCACTCAGGGAAACTCAGCAGATTCCTTCTAGCTGGAAGTAAATTCTTTTCTGAAGTCTCAAAGCATTCTCTCTCTCTGTCTGTCTCTAGGACAACTTGGTCTCCACTACACACTGCAGGCACTTCTGGACAGTTCTCCTTTCCCCTCCTGGGATTCACAATCTGCATTCCCTCCACATGTGAGGCCCAGGGGATACAGGATGTGGGGGTGGGGTGCTCTGAATGAATGTATAACAAGTATACATTCTTAAGAACGAAACTTAGGCAAAACTGACACAGTCCAAAGCTCAAATTCCAATTTAAAATCCTTGGGAGGTATATAGCAAGCACTCTTTTGCTACCTGAGAAACACACTTTTCTGGTTTGCAAGGGAAGAAAGATCTTGTTAATATTTTTGGCCGATGGGTATCTTTTAGAACAACATATGAATGTATCACATGTAAATGAAGCCAAAACATATGCAGTACCTTTCCTATGGTACATACATAAATTTTATTGAAAAAAACAGCCATAAAGCTGAGAGAAATTATGATCTCCAAAACAGATTAACAAGGGATTTTCTCCCAACTCCAAAATCTAGGTAGTATTATTTTACTTTCATTACACAAAGTTTCCTCTTCACTTTAAAGACTTTCCTGGAGAACATTTTTCACATTCTGGGAAGGGGAAGGAAGAAAGGAAGGAAAAGGAAACGTCTCCCCGCTTCTCATCGCCCTGCTGGCTATTCCCCCATGGAGGCTCACTCAGATGCCCCTTTGTTTCCTCTCCAGTTTACCCTTTGATTTCCATGCCCTCATCCATTATTGGAGTCTTTCCTTCCTCACAAGTCTATTCTCTCTAGCTTTCCTTCTCCTTACTCTGGTTCTTCTCATTCCCAAGCATTTAACCAGGAAACTACATCCCACCTCTCCACTTCAGAACTGACACCAAATCTGTGCAGTGGAACTGTGGCTTTGCTGTCAGGGAAACTGCATCAAACACAGACACCCACATCCACATGAAGTTCCGCTGGACAGCCACCCTCATCAGCATAAACACTCCTCGTCCCGGAAGGGCCAGGACTCCAAAGATCAGGAGCAAAACGCAGGCAGTGGATGTGTACAAGGGGAAATTTGGAGAGGAAAGCAGTGAGGATGGAAAGTCTGAGTTGTCAGAATTGTTATTTAATCCCACCTGAGACCCCTTACCCCCAGCACACTGCTCTCTGCTTCCAAACCTCAACCCACGCACACAGGGAAGAACTGAAGTCCACGTCCAACTCCTCTCTTCTCGACAGTGCTTTAATGAGACCATACTCTAATGAAATAAGTCACACTTGTATGTAAACATCATACTGTCTCCCTAGTGAAAGAAACTGAGAGGAAGTAAGATGTAAAATCTACAATAGATAGAAACTGCTCAAAAGGAAAGAACAACTGAGATGAGGGAAAGGAGAAAAGGCAGGGAAAAGAAAAAAGCGTATTTTTTCTAAATATATTTTACGTATGTATATTTTGTACATATATGTATACATTTTATACATATATTTTAATAAATATTTTATACGTATATTTATATATACTTATAAAAATCTATATACACAAAAGATAGCTAAGACAGTTACACCATGAATTTAGTTAATTAAGGAGAATGGTTTGTGCGTATACTGTTTGATCAACTTTGCATGTGAAAGAAGAGCACACCCCCCCACGTTCTGATGACCCTGTTGCCACGGCTTATGTCTAGACATGGCTCCCCAAAGCCTCATACAGTCACAGGTGGGGTTTTCTGAGGTGGCTGCTCTAGGGTGGGTGGTGCTGGGATTGAGTGACACTGGGATTAAGGGTGCCCCACCCAGCATGTGGGGGCACCACCCAAAGGCCGGGTGCCTGGATGGATATGAAGACAGGCGTGGTTGCTGCTGACACCTCTTCACTGCTCTGCCTCCGTCTGCCTGCCATGGGCTGTTTCTCCTCTGCGAGGCCCCTGCCATGCCAACCTGGACTGCATCCAGCCAAATACAGACTGGATTATCTCTGAACTGTGAGCTGGAAGAAACCTTTCCTCCTTTAACTTTGGACACTCTCAGCATTGAGAAAAGTAGCTAAATGTGAGAGGGCAGGCGGCAGCAGCACTCGCCTATCTTTTGAATTAGTACTTATCTGCAGTACGGAGCACCCATATTTACCTCGAGGAGCAGGTACAGGTAACTTAACATATGTGGATTCTTTTTACTCTCCCTCCCTTTCCCTGTCTCTCCCCTTCTTCCATCTCTAAATGCCTTTTGCCAAAGATCTTTCTTCCTGTTTCCTATTGTCTATATTGTTTTTCAAATAAAAGAAGTTATATGATATTTAATGTGTTAGATTTATTTCATTTACCATTATATCTCAAGAGGTACTATATTTTTTTAAATCTCACAAAGACATTAAAGAAACAGGCCTTGCACAATCCTTTAGAAACTGGCAGGAACGATGATTATGTTTGAACAGGGGGAAGTAATCTGAGAAGGACTAATGGCAATGTGTCTTTTCCTCTGATACTTTAAGTTTAACCATTCACCTTATGCATTGATCATACCTTTGAAATGCTGCACAGTTCACAAAAACTAACATGTAAATCAACCCAGACGCCTGTCAGTGAGTAAACGAAAAAGAAAATGTGGTATATATACATGATGGACTATTTCGCCATAAAAAATAATGAAACCCTGTCATTTACAGCAACATGGATTGAACAGGTCATTATGTGAAGCGAATTGAATGAGAACAGAAAGACACAAGTCACACATTCTCACTTCTTCGCAGGACTCATAAGTCAGCTTTGCAAAACAGAATGGGACACTGGTCAGTACAGCCAAGGAAAAGTGGAAGGAGGAGTGGGCAGAAAGAAGCTCAGCAGGGGTCACTAGCACAGCATGGAGGAACTAGCTCTGGTTCTTATTCAGCACAACAGGGTAACTACATTTTAACAATCTATGATGTTTTTTAAAATAAATAGAAGAGTACAAGATTCCCAACATATAAACAAAATTTTCTGAAGAAATGCTAATTATCCTGATTTTACTGCTACACATTTATACGTGTATTGGATTACCATAATGTACCCCAAAAAGATGAACAAACATTATGTCCCAATAAAAATGAAACAGAACAGAGTTTTCCACAAACACGGTAAGAGGGAAGAGTGTACTGAAGTTATTTGTGCTCACCCTGCCCCCAGGAATATGTGTCCTCCCCTCCCAGCCAGTCAGGTACCCTGATGGAAGACAGAAGGGGTTTACCCTCTCCCGACTTCCCCTTTTCTTGCTATCCACAACACTTGGTCCAATCAGGAAGGTCCTCTGCAAGGCTGGGTGACCACTGTAACTGCAGTGCAAATAGACGCCAGCCCTGGCTCGCAGGTGCCTGGGGCGTCTGCCATCCACACTTACTCAGTGACAATCATTGCCCTTTGAGAGTTTGGATCCTGTCTCAGAGTCCCATGCATTAAAGGCTTGATCCCAGCTGGTACTAACTGTAAGAGGTGGAAAGCACTCGGGCAGGCAGTTAGGTCACTGGGGCATGACCTTGAGTGGGAACTCAGGACCCACCCCTCTCTCTCTCCCTCTTCCTCTCCCTCACCATCTCCCTCACCCTCTCCCTCTCCCTCTCCCTCTCCCTCTCCCTCTCCGAGGCTTCCCATCCTCCACAAAGTGAACAGCTCCTCTGCTGCAAACTCCTGCGCTGAAGTACCACACTCCCACAGGCCCCAGGGCGACAGGGTCAAGCAATCAAGGGCTCGGAAAACATGCACCAAAATAAACCTTTCCTCCCTCAAAGTTAATTATTTCAGTTATTTTGTCACGGCAAACACAGTTCTCTTCCTCCATCTGACATCCTTTCAACTTTAATTGCCTTACTTTCTCTTATTTTCTAAACTGCAAAGTTCTAACTTGATCACCGGTTCCAGGGTGCTGCAACACACAGAAGCTGAATGAGAAATCCAAGGGCAGGACTGCAAACAGCAACAAAAACCCAGACAACTCACTATCACGCAGCTGGTATTCACTCTCATCGGGATTAAACGTTTTTTTGTTAATACCAAGAAAGGTTCAGATGTACAGAATTCTATCAGAGAACTTGTTAGGAACAAGTTCATCACAGCAATGAAGGAAGAAGAGAAGGAGGGAGAGAAATGGAGAAAGGGAGAGAGGGAGTAAGGGAGGGAGGGAGGGAAGGGCAGAGATGAGGAAAGGAAAATAAATCCAAGAGGGTAACATCACATGGTAACCAGACAAAAGCAAGAACTCTCTTGAAGAGGAATAAAATATCATCTTACCTTTTCATGGTTTTCAATTAGAATTTCCACGACAATATTCTGAAACTTCAGATCCATGATGGCAGCGACAGTTTCTTCCTGTGGCCTCATCAGTGTTGGTCCAAACACCACGCCTAAATTTGCCACAGTCATTAGATTCTGCTTGGAGTGACTGGAAACACTAATATTGATGAGGGAGGGGAAAAAAGATCTGTTTAACTAGGGGGCTGGAATCATAGAATGCGCAGAATTTTCAACTCTGTCCCCTTAGACTTAAGAAATCACACAACTCAACTTGTCCTCCTGTCTGCTCTGACACACCCAGACCTTACCACCCTCTATGTGCAGAGGCCCAGCTACTATGTTACTTCTACTCCTTGGATGCTCTGGTCACAGCAGCCCTCTAAGTAAATCCACATGTGTGCCAAGCTTATTTCCACCAAACTTTACAACATCCTGTTTTGCCTCCGGTCATTATATTCTGGCTGCCAGGGCCTAGTGGCCCGCAAGGCACCTTTGTAAAAATTAGCTTCAAAGTCTGCAGAACCTGATCAAAGAGCAGCGCCCTATTGGCTCCTGCAGCCCAGTATCACTATGCAGCCTACAATGTGGACTCGCCACTGAACTCAGGTCTAAACACAGAGACCTCACTCCCCAAGAGGTTCAGCTGGAATCTCATATTCAACATACGTTCTCTCTCCTGACTGTATTTTGTGGGGATTTTTTTGCCACTCATATCTGAAATTATCTTGTATTTTAATTGTTATCTATTTATCTTCCCCCTGTAGAAAGCTTCAAGAAAGTAAGGACTTTCTCAAGTTCAAATGTGTATGCACTGGCACTAAAAAAGGCCATTAAATAAATATTTTTGGATCAAATAAATGAACGACTATTTCTGACAAGTCACAATACCCTCATGCCTTCAGTCTTTTATGTTATAGTCCTAAAACAATACTCCTCACCTTGTCACCGCTAGAATTTTACAGTTATAAATAATCTGAAAGTCATTTACATCTGAAAACAAGGCTAATTTCTTCCAACAAATCACTAGATGTTGTTTGGTTTTTAAAGACAAAGGACAAAAGAATGGACCCTGTGAAATAACTGCCCAGTACTTCATTCAACATAAAGGTCATGTTCACACTGAAGAGTTAGGTAGGTGTGAAAACAAGCGAATTTGCTAACCGACTTACAATTCCAGTTCCAGAACCTGCATATGGGGCAATAAATATGTAACGCTCTTTTCTTTCACTTCAAATCAAACCCCGAGTTGCTGGCAGTGATGTTAAACAAATAATTATACAACTTCATGGAAACATCATATTTCACCACTCTTGTCCAAAACACACAAAATGAGTCAAATGCCCGGACTGCCCTTCCAAGAGTGGTCCCTGGTATTGTATATACAGCTTGGGCTCCAGCTCAAGGACGCGGCACTGCACCCTCAGCAAAGTGCAAAGCGCGAAAGGAGGAAAAGAGCCTTACTTTGTTAAATGCTTCACCAAAATATCCAACATTTCTTTATTCTTCTCTGGCAGTTTGTGCACCAAGAAATGGATAGCATTGACGCGAGATTCTGGGCTGCCACTTTCTGTGAAGAGAAAATAAAAATAGTTAATACAGTACTCACAGAATCAAGTATGTTTCCCCCAAACGATTGTAACAGCACATTCACTGGAGAGCTAAAAAAGTGTAACCTTATTTTGCCACCTTTAAAAGACAACAGAAAGCCTATCTTTCCCACCATCATTGATCTTCTAAAATGCCCCACCCTGGCTAGAAGGTAATGTTCATGTGGCTCAAATTACCACCTGTCTCCCAACTGTGTCTGCGAGCAGACGGCTGCGACAGTTTCTCTTGCTTTTGTGCATGCTTCGAGTCTGCTCATGGTTCACTGGATGGAGCCCAATCATTGCCAATGAGCCCACAGTGCAATGCAAGCCAGGTACCAGCGAACAGATGATTCCCCATTGAGGTTCTAACTGGGTCTCCCAAAGAGACCTGCTGAAGTCCTAGCCCAAGGACCTCAGAGTATGACTTGATCAGCTGCAGTAAGACATGGAAATAAATGAATGCTTCAGAAGGAAAAAGAGTATATACTCCTAGCGCCCTAGAAATGGAAGTCACTGTGTGGGGCCACAGAGGGCAGGCCCAGAGTAGCTGGCTATTTGGGAGGATTTGGGTAAGCTCTGGGTAAAGGAGCTATCCCCAATTCTCTGGCACCTGACCCTGAGGCACACAGGGAAGAGAACATTGGTGTGGAGCAAGAAGGCCCAGCCTGCAGGAGGGGGTAAGAGGGTCCGGGCTTCCAATGAATGGTTTGCAGATGAAAAGCACCATGGGATTTTTCTATCTTTAGGAGCAGAGCAAGGCCAGAAAGAGGCAATGAGGCCTCAGATGGCAAATTATCGGGATTCAGTACTGGGCTTACTACACAGCCCTACTGGGAAACAGTCTCTGCAGATGTCATTTAAGAAGGGTTGGGTCCCTTACTTCAGTAAAATTAGTGTCCAAGTAAGAAAGCAATGACAGAGGGAACATGGCCAAGGAAAGGCCGATATGAAGGAAGACGTTGCCAACAAGAAGACTGCAAACCAAAGAACTTGAGAGTTTCCGGGAAACACAGGAAGCTGGGTTTGGCGAAAAGGATCCTTGCCCTTCTGGCATCAGGGAGAACATACCTTGGGTTCAGACTTCCAGCCACCAGAATTGTGGCAGGACTAAACTTGGTGTGCAGTACCGCTGTTTACAGCAGCTCCAGGAAACTAACCTCTTTCCCTTGCCCCTTAAACTCTGGAATTGCTATCAGTGGCTCCTACTAACTACATACACAGAGCCCTTTATCGTGTCCTTGATGGAGAAATTATCAAAGAAATCAATAAAACAGTTATTAACAAAGATAAAGTAGAGTTTTCAGGGGCGTTAAAGTAACTTGATGAGAATTAAGTGCTCAGTATATTGTAACTTTGTAACTTTTTGAAATCATAATTTTCTCATGATGAAAATTGAGTATCTGTTCTGTGAAACTTTAGATAACAGAAAAACCAAGTTTAAAAAAGTCACTAAAAATCTGAAATATATGTGTGTGAAATAACATGCACTCAAGACTATAAGGAACTTATATAAATCAATCCAAGAATGAAAGTATGTAACCCAACAAGAAAACAGGCAGAACCAACCTCACATAAGGGATATAAATGTTATGTATGCAAATATATACTGAACAAAAAGCGAGAGAGGAGGGAGAGAAGGGAAAGAGCATGAAAACAGGAATTAGGATGTGTTCTGTGCATGTGCCAACTCCCCACAAGGAATGAAAACATTATGTAATAAACACATGTACTAACGAACTAAAAAAAATATATATATATATATTTTGCTACTAAAAGCAAAACAAGCAGTGGACTACAGCAAAACTTCACAGAAAGAGCAATAAGCATAAAAATGGATTTAAAACTTTGTTAGAAATAAAAAAAAAAAGGAAACTACTATTTACCCACCAGAAGTGCTTTTAATGAGTACATTTTGACAAGAGTCTGAGACTATTCAAACTTTTCACATGCAGACTAAGTAGGGATTTTTAGGGGGTAGTGCTGGAGATGGACCCCAGGTTGTCAGAGCATATGCCAAGCATGCACTCTGCCCCTGAGCTGCACCCTCAGCCATAGGTGGAAACGATTAAATGGCACAACTGCCTGGAGACAACGCTCCTCAGTACTACTAAAGCTGAACAAACATGCCCTGTGACCCCAAAGTTCCACTGTATTCATATAGAACAAGGAGATGTACAAATCAATGTCCATTAAAAGACTTACACCAGAATGTCCGCAGGAGCAATCTTTGGAGTCACCCCAAACTGGAAGCAACCCAAATGTCCATGAGTCATTAATTCAATAAACATACCCTGTCCTATTCATATAATGGACCGCAGTGAAGGTGAATGGACCAGTGTTTCCTACAGTATGCACAACTCACAAGATGAGCACAAAGGTAGATTAGTCTTTCTTTCCATCCGACTCCAACCCTATGACATGTACCAACACCAGCCCAAACTATCAAAAGCTGGAGAGCAGTCATACCTCCTAAGGGTGAAAAGTGATCAATCACAGTGGTGTGATGAAGGGCATCTGAGGTTCTGATAATGTTTGATCTTCATCAAGGGCTGACTACATGCATATTCATTAATGGTACACATTTGTACACATTTACGTTACACTTCGACAAGATTTGGTTAAATGAAAAATAACCCATAAGAAATGTCACCATGAAGTACACTGGTAGATCTTAACTTCACAGACGACTTTCCATGACACTGAGTGCAGTGCCACACCATCGACTTTATGACCCTTCACTTCATGCTGCTCCCAATGTCTGTAAAGTTAAAATCGTTCCAGAGCGCACTCCTAACACCAGTCAGTGTCTGAGAGTGAGGAACTGGGTTTTTACAGGAGAACTGTCAGACAGCTGCCCCAAAAAAGAATGGAAGCAGAGAGACTACCCAACTAAGACGCATTTGATGTTTGATGCAGAGGAGCACAAATAGTTAAGCCATATCCCCACACAAAAGCTTTTAAATATAGACTGAATTTACCACTGAAAGCAGAAGTACAACCACATAAAGAGTTAGGTGATAAATTACAGCCCAGTTCAATATCTGGAGTTACAACCAAGACATTCAGGAGTGTTGCAGAAAATAAAAGCAATAGAAACAATTTCAGCTCATAGCTTTGTTTAAAAAAAAATTAAAGTAGAATTCCGAAATAATAGTCAAAAATTTCAAAGGATCTTGAAGGATGAAAACTGTGTATTTTGAAAACTAAAAATTCTTGCAAACTTTGTACTGAAAAGCTAATTCTAACTCAGGAGTCTATCTTCACATTAATAACTATCTTTCTCCAATGAATATCTAGTTTAAATGTTTTAGGATTCATTTTTTCCTTAGAGATGAGTTACAAAAATCATTTCCCATCCTCTAGGGACACAGTCATTCATTTCTAAAATTACTAGATTCAGTTTTGCAAAGTAGTCAAAACCATCCACTTTCTTCATTGACAGTCCCTGCCCAAAACAATTCTTTGAAAAAACATATATTTTTTCCAAGTATTTTTCTCTTTAAAAAAGGTATTTCAGTAAAGCTTAAAATAAAACACTTCTGACATTAATCAGAGCTTTCTATTAGCAGACATTTTCCATATAGCTATGACATAATTTAAATCCTTTCTATGTATTTCTAAAATAAAATACTCCAGGCACACACCTATAATCCCAGCAATCTGGGAGACTAAGGCAGGAGGAGCAAGCTGGAGCCAAGAATGGGGAACTTAGCAAGTCCCTAACTCCCAAAAAATAAAAACACACAAAAAAGGCCGAATATGAAGCATAGTTCAAAGGCCCTAGGTTTGATCCTGAGAACTACAAAGAAAAAAAGTTATCTATACTCTATGTGTTGTTATATATGGTAAAAAAATTAGGGGCCTAACATTTTTTAAATTATAATAATCAATTACTTGCCAGGAAATTATGAACTTACTGTAATTTAAAAAATATTTTGACTGTGAAACTGTAAATAAGCATTCATTGTATTTTAATATCTACTTGATATTAAATCTATTATGATACTATCACAAGATACTGATAAAAAGATATGATCAAACTTACTGCAACTTCTCAAAGACTCATAGGCAAATAAATGCTAAATACTGAAATGCTGTCAATCATACTGTAATTTAAGGAAGCACTTCCCAAGGGCCAACAGAGCTGCTATCAAGGCACATTGAGCGTCCCTCTGAGGTCTCTGTCTACTATGAAACGAATCCACCATGCTAAGGAACACAGGTGCCATTAAACATCCTATTCCTTTAATTCCCAGTTTCTGAACACTTCCCCACCAAGAATCTCATGATTTTGCTGTGTTCCCTATGCAGATTTATCAGTAAGAATACGATACTCTGATCAGACAATCACTGATGCACCAGACCCTGTAATAATGATGTTTCTCATCAGAAATGACTCTAGGAGTTTGTAGCTACTGATTCTGCTTCCCACAAAATTTGAGTACTGGATGAACTTATACTCAACACAGCAATACAAGCCGCTGAGTCTTTTTTCATATAACCCAGTAGGCATCTAGACTTTAGTTGTTCTGCTTGAGCTAGGTTTAATGCAAGTCCAACTCAGAAGCAGGGCTCCATGCTCACCAAAAATGAAACATCAGCACTCCAAACCTACAGATAGACACAATCTTTTGCATTCCTGTATGGACCAAGTAAGCTGGACCCTTATCTTACAAATTTCTACACCAAAACCCAGTACTATACAGGACTCTCAAAGTGGATAGTCTCTAGGTTTCTTTCAATAATATAAACAAACCAGTTAACAGTTTAAGTATTTCAATTTTCTGAACAACAAACAATTCTTTTGTGTGAAACCTATGTAACATTCAGCAGTAGGTCAGTAAATTATTTTTTAAGAACAAGAAATCAAAAAATTTAGCTTTCTGAAATGACAAGGTAACAGAAAATGCCACCGCCACCACTTCCTACCCCTCCCAACTCCATCAGTATATTTCAGTTTGTTAGTTGTCCAGGTAACAGTTCCTGTTCCAGTTCTGGTTATTTCCATCTTTTAGAAGTGGCTGGTCACTGTGATGCACAACTGGTCACTATGATGTATATTGTAAAAACCAATCCCCAACTGACAAGCCCTCTGCCTGCCTCTGTAGCTCCCAACTGCTTATGTCATATAGACCCCAGACCATCAGAGATCAGGGCCTGAGATTCTGAAAAGGATCCCGGTTAGTGCCTGTTGATGTAAATAAACCTGCCTCCAAATCCTGGGTGTGGTTTCGGTATTTCTGCTTGCTGTTGCAACAGAAATGAAATTCGTATTTGTACAATGAACTCAAGAAATTAACTTAGAGATTCTCAACAGGAAACTACTGAAAAGAAACTGGTGACAGAAAACTAAGGGAGCCAGCAGAAACCATCAGGACTCCCAGCAGGAGGAGAGAAGAGACAAGCTCCACACCACAGAACAGATGGGAGCAACCGAACATGGCTGAGAAGAATCGGAATTTAGTTTCCATGCTGGTATAAGTAGCAGTAACAAAGACTAGTGATGGTCAGTAATTTTAGCAATCAGTTTAGCTAATAGATATTTTAGCAAGACAAGGTAAGCTGCGCCACTGCTAATGGAGAGTGATAGTTTAAACCACAATCCCCATTTTCTAACAACATGAAGGGGGAAGACTAACTTCCACTATCTGAGTTCTGTAACTGTTTTATTCAACATATGCAAAAGATTGGAAGATCTGTTCCCTCATTCTCACATAAACACAAAGAATGGTGCTCACAAGAGGTAGGAAAAACTGAACTCTACCCTGGAATCTTTAGATCCTAAAAAGAAACCCATTTAGTACATGTAGTTTTTCATTAAATAAGGTTACATTCTAACCACAAATGAACTTAGTAAAACCCATGCCAATAATTACAGTAGCTACAATACTCCTCTGGAACAGTGCTGTTATTTAAATCATTATAAGACTATTACAGAATCACCAGAGTCAGGAAACAAAACACAAAGTACTGGTTCAACAATCAATCTCTTACAGTTGTACAATTCTTTGCATCATTGAGATCAAAAACGCCTTCAACAAAATCTATCACCATGGACTTCATTATCTCTTCCTCCTCTAATAAAATCCACAGATATTAGAATGCCAAATATCTTTTTTTCAGTTACAGGTATGACAGTATTCGTGATGCTAACTTTCAATAATTTAAGACTTTATTCCATAATCATTTCATCTTTCTCCAATTCTGCAAGAAGTCTAGATTAAAGCTGGCACCATTCTGCTTTTTCCAGTCTCTAAGGCAAACAACATGAAACAATTGTCCTCCAACTAAGTTTAATTTGTCTTTCCCTAGTATGCCAAAAATGCCACAGGGAAGAAATCAAAACAACTAAGCATTTGCTTGAGTTTTTGCCAAGAAAACTTTCCTGCACTTCCTCGATCACATAAATTCTCTTTAAGATGGGGATAAAATAAAAAAAAATTTCTTCATCCATGTAGAAACAAAACTGAACAGAACCCCATATTCTTGCCTTTTCCAAAAATCCATTTCATAGGTATAGTCCAAGGGCACCCACACATTTCTGGTCTCTCCAGTATACCAATAACTTTAGCCTTGCCGGAAGAGAGACCTCACAAGAAGACAACCTTTAAAGCTATGTTCAGGCAGCAGGCACACAGGACCCAAAGGGACTGCTCTAAATTTTTCAACAGATTAAACTCTGGAACACATTCAAGGGGGAAAAAAAATAAAAGGAAATTAAAATATGATTTCAGCTACTGTCAGTGCACCTGTGCAAACCAATACTGAAGGGTTTAGCCAGGGGAACTGGGGTTTTGGATTTTACATTCAGTTTCCTATAATCTGGTAGTTTACTTAACATGTCTCAACCTTCATTTCCTTAAACATTAAATACCAAACACCAGGACACTTCAGAAGACTTGGATGATTAAACAGTATATGTCAATTATAAAAAGTGAGCTGTATGATAAAAGACAAAAGAGTCCTGAGTGAGTTTGACTCATAAAAATCTAACCACAGAGTAAAACTTCACCAACTACAGACCTTTTTCTTTTACCATTTTATCATGTATAATTCTAGTCTGTCAAATACTGTTTAGGCTTCTAGTATTATCTCATAATATTCTTTCTGTCTATAATTTCCAATTAAATGTCTTGGTAAACTATCTCTAACCCATTAATCTCTCCAAATCTGCTAATCTCTGCAACCTCCTGCAAATTAAAATACTTCTGTGTTTTGGAAGCATTCTGTTCATGTAATCATTATATATTTTATTGTATAACAAGAGCATATGCCCCAAACCTTGCTACAATACTGGCTCCTGAGGTCAGGAATCCTGTTGTGAAGCTACCTATCTAGTACATCAACAAATCACACAGTAAGGAATAATTAATATTCATGAATGAATGAATAAGTACATTGCCTTTTATTTTCCAAAAGGAAGGAACAATCAGTCAGCTTCTAAAGTGATTTCTATTTTTAATAGAGAACACAGTAACACTAAGATAAACTTCTCATATGTAAATTTTTAGTTCGTATACACTGCAAGGCACAAAACTGTGTCTGTACCCTCTACAGAATACTTACTGGCTGGAACAATGAAATCCCCATGTAGCTCATAGGTCATGAGAGGTTCTGGAAGACTCCTATACAAAAAGAACAGCTCAGAATTACCAGACGAATCCAAACAGGTCACATATGTGTTTCTTTTCTTTATAAAAGGATGTTAAATTTGTTGTGCATTTCTTAGTTAATGTGAAAAATTCTCCAGGGAACACTCTAAAACATATCAAAAGTACACATAAATCAAGTGGCTCACTTTATGAACTGTTATTTGTACCAGGTACTATCAAAGCTTAAGCAGCCACAAATCCCTATCAGCTATTATACATCTCACCTTGGGAAGCACCTTCATGAACACCTGGTTGATGTATGTGACTTCCTTCCACACAACATATTTGAAATCAAAAATTCTAACTATAGGGATGTAATTTTGAAAATCATCTTTAAAATGTTAATTAAAGGGATCATCAAAAAATACACAGACAAGAGCTAGGGGTGGTTCATTAGTAGTCCCTTGGGTTGATCCCCAGGGCTGAGAGAGACAGGCAGACAGACAGAGAGACAGAGAGACAGAGAGATAGAGATTAAGCAAAACAAATCCTCTTAAATACATCCAGTATAAAATTATTTTGTACCTATATGTAAAAGAAACATGAAAACATTGAAGACTTAATTTATTTAAAAGATACAAACTTAAACCAGTAATTTAATAATATACATGTTGGGGCTAGGGATTTAGCTCAGCGGCATAAGCACCTGCCTGGCAAGCACAAGATTGTGAGTTCAATCCCCATTCAAAAAAAAAGAATATACATGGTATTTTAGTTTTCTAGACAACAAATTATACATGTAAATGGTATTATATTCTATCCTGTGATCAACAGAATGTTAGTTCAGTAAATCTTGTTAATTTCTTAAATCTCACAAAGCCAGGTTTTTTAATTTCACAAAAATGCAGGTAACACTTAAGACAAGTATCAATCTGCACAGATTTTCTGGAGATTAATCTGGCAAGATACTAAGAACTTTTGCAAGTTTGAAATTCTATAACTCTGAAATTCCTCTTCAAACATTTAAAACAAAAATCAAAGATGTATACATACAAAAATATTAAACATATGCACAAGCCAAGAATAGCACCAGGGGTAAATTTCACTTAATACTGACTAAAAAGTTCAACTCTTCAAGAAGTTACAACAAAATTAAATATTCATGAATCCAATAACAAAGCTTCAAACTATCTGAACTCAAAAGCTAATACACTGCAAGGGCGAAATAGAAGAATCCATAACTACAATCAGAGATTTAAATAAAACAAGTAGACAAAATTTGTTAGCATACAGAAGATTTGAACAAAAATACCAACCAATTTCATCTAATTTACATGTCCTTCACCAACAGTACATTCCACTCCAAAGCAGAACACACATTCTCAGTGCACAGACTATTTGTTTTCCAAGATGAGCCATATTCTGACTCATAAAATAAATATAATTTCAAAATGGTCCAAGTTATGCAGAATATGTGTTTGATAAAAATTAAAAATCAGTAACAGAAAGATCGGTGAATAGCCACAAATAAGGGAAATTAGAAAGTACTTGAAACGGAATGAAATGAAAATAAAACATCAGATTTTGAGAATACTGATAAAGCAGCAATTACAGGAAATTTACAGTGTTTGACATCTACATTACAAAAGCAGAAAAATCTTAAACCAATAACTTTACTTTTAAGATGGAGCTGGGGAAAAAGTAAATGACACTCAATGTAAACGGAAAAATAAAGATCAGAACAGAAATCAATAAATAAAAAAGAGGAAGTAATTAAGAAACAGTTCCTTGAGATGATCAGTATAACAGGTAAATCTACCTAGAGCAATTAGGAAATAAAAGAGAAAACATAAATGACCAATGTCAAGAATGCAAACTGTTACTGCAGGTTCTAAACATATTACAGAAAGTACACCCTTTGACAGCTCAGCTGGTAGAGCAGAGGACTGTAGACTCAACAGATACCATAAAGAGAATAGAAACAGTCCTATGCCTGTAAATTCAACAAGTGAAATGAACAAATGTCCTACAAGATGGAAAACACTCATGAAGTACTAGGCAACATATGGAGTCCTGTGTCTGCGAAAGAAATTATGTTGGGAGTTAAAAATATGATCTATAAGAAAACTTTGGGTCCAGATGACATTGCTGGTATGTTCTACCAAACAAGAAAGAAAGGATATCAGTTCTGTACATATTTCTCCAGAAAGCAGAAAAGAGATACTTTCCAATTCATACTGTGGGGTAATTATTACACTATTATCAAAATTAAAGACATCACAAAAAAATTACCACCAAGATCATGAATAAACACAGATGCAACTAGTATAAATAAAATTTTAATAAACCTAATTCAACAAGATACATAAAACATGTCATGACTAACTTGGCTTCACCACAGAAAATGTGACACCAGGATAGCAGTTTTTTAAATGCTATTTGCCTTAACAGTAAACTAAAACAAAAGAAAATCATGTCATCATCAAAACAAATAATGTAGGAAAAAGCCACTAGACACATGAACACATGCATATGTGGATATTCACACACACAAAAAAGCTAGAATCCACACCTCACATTTTATTCAAAAATGAATTTAAGGTATATCATAAATCTAAACAGGAAACCTAAAACTAAAATATCTAGAAGAAATTTAAAAGAAAACTTTAGTTGCCTTAAGATTCTTGATATATAGGATACAGTAAATAAAATGTGACATCAAAATTAAAAACTCTTTGAAAAATACAATTAAAAAGAATAAACAGATTAAGTCACACACTGAAGTAAACATCTGTAAAACATATATCCAAAAAGGACTTGTATCCAAAATACTTAAGTACAGTATCTTGCAAAATGCAGTAAATCAACTGTATTTTTTAACTGGACATAAAACAGGGGTAAGAATGTAGCGTACTGACAGGGAGTATTTTCCCCATTAAGGCCTTACGTTCAGTTCCAGCAAAACAAAACAAAACAAAACAAAAATTTAAAAATTGAGGAAAATAGATGAACCTGTTAGAAATAGATGAAATAAATTTCACCCCAAAGCACAAAGAGATGACAAATAAACACACATAAAAATGCTAAACATAGCTAATGACTGCAAAATTCACATCAAAAGTATAATTAGGAACCAATATGTATCTATTAGAACAGCTAAAATGACTGACTACATCAAGAGTTGAAAAGATTCACAGAAGTAGGCTCTTATGTACCTTTGATGGGAATGTAGAATAGATCAAACTTTGAAAAAAGAAAACTGTCAAACCTCCAAAAGTTAAGTACACACTTACCAGATGATCCATATATTCCAATCCCAAGATTTACCCAAAAGAAATAAAAGCCAATGTCCATTTAAAGATTTATTCACCAATGTGTATAGCAGTGTTATGTGCAATACCCAAAAAGCTATAAACACTCTAATGGCTACCAAGAAGCTAAGGGATTAAAACCAAATGGAATATCCAGGGGCTGGGGATTTAGCTCAGTGGCATAAGTGCCTGCCTTGCAGGCAGGCAGTCGTGAGTTCGATCCCCGGTACCGGTAAAAAACAAAAAGACAAAAAAAAAAAAAAAAAAAAAAAAACGAAATGGAATATCCATACAATGGGCCGTTAGCTTTGCAGTCTCAGTGAACAATGAGAACATGCTATGAAACAGGTGAATGTCTAATCAGTTAGTAATTAAGTGAAGGAGTCTGGAATTTCTTAATATATATTTGCACACATAAAGAATACAAGGAATGCAAATTCATATATAATGACAGAAAGCAAGCCAACAGTTACCCACAGATGAGGCCATGAGAAGGGAGGGGTCCAAAGTAGGCATTTCTAAAGATGGGAGGAAACGGGGTGGGGGGGGTGCTTATTTTCCTGTCTTCATTATGATGGTAGTTTCCCAGATGTATAAATACAATAAGCTCATCAAAATGTATTATGAATATATAAATATATATATATACGATTATACTCCAATACATGTCAATAAAGCTATTTAAAAAACAAATGTGAAATATTCTCTTTTTTTTTTTTTTGGTCTTTTTTGTTTTTATCAGTACCAGGGATTGAACTCACGACTGCCTGCTTGCAAGACAGGCGCTTATGCCGCTGAGCTAAATCCCCAGCCCCTAATGTGAAATATTCTTACAAGTGCTTTACATACAGCTTCTGGTACTACAGTATAACAAACATACACACAATGACAACCATATAGAAACTTAAGGCATGAGTGAAGAATTAGCTATTCTCTTTGCTTTCCCTCCACATGCACATTTAAAGAAAAACACCATCAATTACATCACTAAAAGCAAGACAAAGAAAAGCAAAAAAGAAGTCAAGAGTTTTATTTTAAAGTATGGACAAGTGGAAAGTGGCAAAGACGGAAACCAGCTACCCGCAAGGAAGGAGCGTTACAGAGTGCTGCCTCCAACACAGCGAGAGATGAGAATGCTTAGAAAAACCACCCAGAGTACTTCTTCTCCAATAAAAATGAATGTGTGTCTAAATATCTTCTACAAGCTACTTATATCATTGCCACATGTCTAGCTAGGCAGTGCAGCATAAGAAATAAATATCATTAATGCTAGGGAAGCAGTAATAAAAACGACAAGTTGCCCAATACAAAATTTATTATCCTGAATCGCCACATCTCTCAGCCTCCCACCCAGCATGTTTTTAAGCCATCTCTCCTTGCTGTTGGGGGATATAAATCATAATATTTGCCTCAGCTAGCATTTCCTTCTCCCAAAAAAAGTCCCATTCAAATTTCCAAGCTTTAAAGAAGTTTCCTCCAGGTAACATCATTCCACTGGAGACATCACAGAAGAGCTCGTTCATTGCCTCACAATGGGAAACTGCTGTGATGAACACACGGGTCTGCAGAGATGAAAATCCTTCAGAAGGCTGGTCCTGAGAGCTCTACAACACTGGAAATGAAGCCTTAAGTCGCTTCAAGAAAAAGGGAGCACGAGGCATAGGTCCTGCATGTCTGCATGTCTTTTTCTTTTTCCAAGACTCCGAAAGTTTTGCTTCCTGTTTTAGTCTGGTGTTTTCAGGGTTTTGTCTCCAGTCTCCCATATGATACAGAGTGGTTGGGTTATTTGCAGTAAGAAAAACTCAAGAGCAAGAGTGTTTTGGTGAGAAACACAGTATTTCAGCTCTGTGCTTGCTGCCAGAGTTACAGGATGAGATTCCCACTGCAGCAGACTGGCTGCCTCCACTCCATCCCCTGACCATCACGTATCAGCACTGCCTCTTGAGCTGAAATACACCCGTTCGCTTTGGCCCTAACTCTGTAGCCAACGTGGAGGTAGATTAAAGAAGTCTTCTCCCACTTGGTCCATCAAGAGGAAAAGTGTCATTAAATGCTAATTACTGCATTTTCAAGTTGCTAAAAATAGCACAAGGGAGCACAGAAACCTAACTTTCTAATCTTCCAAGGCATCTGCCCTCTCATGATAATCACCTCCTCACAGTCAGGTGGTGCATGTGCATTGTTAGGAGTGAAGGTTACAACAGCAGCATCTCATAGTGTCATTCTGTAGGCAACGTTTGCTTCAACAGGATGAAATAACATAATGAACACAAAACCAGGGCAATAAGAAACAAGCTTCGGAGAATACAAAAATCCAAAAGAAATTACATGTACTGAAGAAAATTATGCTCTAGCTTATTAAGCTAGTTCCTCCACAAGGGAAAAGGGAAGAGTCACGTGAAGAAGGCGGGAAAATACACCTACTTTCTACAAAGAACTGGATATTTAGCCTTAGTTTCTACCGGTAATTGAATCATCTTGATCAACTCCTTTACTCATACCAAGTGTGAGTTTACCAGGCAGTACAATGGATCTGAGTCAAACTTGTTAAGAACGTAGAATTCACTACCAACCAAGTTAACACAGGCAACTCACTATATTTTTATATTCTCCTTCACTCTTTCCTTCATGCACCTGACACAACCTTTCTCAACCTCAACATTGCTAACATTTTAGATTAAGTCATTCTTTAAGGGAAGAACAGGTTATCTCATTTCTCAAAGGATGATCAGTGGACCATTGCTGCCTTCTACCCATCAGATGCCAGCAGTGCCCTCTCCAGCAGGTGTGGTAACACAGCATCATCTGCAGACACTGTCAAATACCCCATAGGTGGCAAAGTCATCCGCACTAGGGAGACAGTGTTCTAATATTTCACCAGCAGGTATGATCCATGTATACTAGAGCAAGAGGGACACATAGGATACAGACCAGGACATGACTGATGAGTCACCTTGATCCTCATCTAAAAGATGGGCATTATCAGTGACAATCCTGCTGGTTCAAAGGACACAGATTTAGCCTTAATTTTATCCCTTTCCCAACTAAGGGTAACAATAATTCATTTAATGATTTAACAAAAAATGTACCATAGCTAAAAAGCATCTTTGACTAAAGTATTCAAAAACAGGAAATATATGAACCCATCAACAAATGCTACTGTAATCACAAAGTAAGACCACCTGAGAGCATACAAAAGCAAGCATACAGCACCACTGTAATGGATTCTTGGAATCAATAACTCAGGATCTGAATTAAGTATGTACACAGATTAAGTATGTACAGGAAATATGATGGCTAGAGAGACATGTTAAATGACACCATGAGTATATAATTTACTCTATTTAAGATGCAGAAAATTCTGCTTTTAAGATGACTCAGCACTGAATCAGGAGCCCTGTGGCAGAGCATTGCCCAGTGTGCCTCAACATGTGAAGCCCAGGGTTCAATAACCAATGGAGTTAAAAAATCCAGGTTCATCAATGAAAAGATTCCATTGGTGAGGGAGAATTGTACAGATGACAAGAAACTAAGCACACAGACCACGTGAAATGTCGACACTGTTTATTCCTGTGGTATCTAAACTAAACACAAAAGGACTTCTAAAAAAACCAAACATGAACTGAGTAGTGGAAGATATTCATTTTGAGGGGTATAATAATTATACTCTGACTGAATTTTTGAAGTCTTACATCTTTTCTTGAGAGATATACTCAAGGAAAAATGAGTCCAGTAACATGAAATTTCAGAAAATTTTTCAAGTATTATCAAAAACCAGTGTCAGGATGCTGATCACTGAAGAAGGGCGATGAGGCGCTATGAAGACTCTTTACCGCAATGTCTCTGGGCTTCTGTAGTTGAATTTTTTGCTCATTTCTTAAAACAATAATTAAGCACCATAAGGAGATTCTAATATGCTCACTGGAATTCAAGTAATTTTTACATGAAAAACCACTGAGGTAGCGCTAAAATAACCAACCTTTGGAGAGGACAACCAGTTTTTTGCCATATAAAAATTGAAGTACCCAAGAGAACCACAGGATAGAGTCACAGTGACTCTTGTTCAGTCTTTCATTCACTTCTTTTCATGCTCTCCCTACTTATGCTTCACTAAACTCCAAACTACTGATTATTAAATTCTTTTTTAAGGAAAGGGGAATAACTCGCTAAAATGATTAAGCCCTTTCCTAACTCTAGTCATGTGTTTACATATCATAAACGATCAACTTAAACGTACCTCAAAACCTTATCAAATAAATCTCTTAAGTAGCTTTATATTTAAGTATTATAAACTTCTTGTTCAAACCAATTAAATTCCAACCTAAAAAATCATCATCTTAAAACATAAATAAAGGAGCCAGGGAAGTCAACCAATAGCCTCCATTACTGGTTCATAGTGTTTAATTCTTAAAACTTCACCTGCAATAGAAACTATTTTCAGATTCAATTGTGTTCTGCTGCAACTGATGTTCATTGACGCCTTACCACGGCTTCAGGAATACTGTTAAATGCCTCATAAATTTTCTCCTTTTTAATAAGATTTATCTTAACAATTGGTATTGATGTACCCAGTGAGCGATCTGTTTTAGGTCACCTTTCCACAGAGAGAGGACCTTACCTCAAATACTGTTTCAGGGCACTTGTTATGGTCTTCACTTCCCAGTCTACAGAATTCTCCAGGTCCAACTCATTGCAAGTTTTTACATCTAGTGACCAAGCAAAGAAGAGAAACTCATTAAAACGCAGAGCACTCAAAGGCACTCTTAACAAGCTCATGAAGCTTCCATTTTTAAATACCAAACCACTTCATACAAAATATATATCTACAACCTGTAATATTATAAGCATGTTCTATTACTAGACATTCATAGCACTTCAGAAAAGCACAAAGGCTAGAGGTTTGGGCTAGAGATAAAGAATAATTAGGAATATAGCATTTCAACATCCCTCTGCTGCACTTATTCATGAATAGCTAATGCTACCATCAATAGTATCGTGTTAAAGCTATTAGTCAGTAGCCATGGCTGAGGCATGGAACATTTTCGGGTAGATGAGTTCACTGGGTGGCACTACTGCTATCACATGGCATTACCTATTTCATGGCAACCAGAGGATGCACCCATTAGCATAAAAACAACTATCAGAATGGCAACAGGTCATTGTATCCATTACACTATTTTTATGTAGAATAACACATGACCAACCAAAACAGAGAATGTAACAACACACACTTAAAAGTCATTTTTGGTTTAACCTAATTAAAAATAATACATGTCATACAAGTATTCATGAATCAAAACATTATAATTACTTCAGTAATATGTATAATTTTTATATTTTTAAATATCAGTTAAAATATGTTTACAAGAAAAGTCACCTAAATTGGGGAAAATGGGTCGTTTATGAGGAATCTTTCACACTGATGAATTCCAGTGTACACACTGACCCAGGCAACAGTTACTAGACACTTCTATGTGATACCACTGACAGTCTTTCTACACTGAGTTAGTTATCTTGTGCTAAAAGTGTTAAAGATGAACTGCTTCCAAATGCCATATAAAATACTAAGTTTTAAAGAAAAGATGTGTAATGCAAAAGAAATAAGGGGTAGAGGGCAAGGAACAGTGAGAGTCAATCTGAGATTAATTGAAAAGAAAGCATGGTGGGAGAGGAAACCTCCCTGAATACAGCGGTGTCTTTGAACATCTCTGAACGTCTGGCCAGAACCCTCAGAACCTCTGCAGGAAAGGACCTTGGGGGCAGGGCATCCTCCCATTCCTTCAATGCTTGTGCCAACCTGGGCCAGCAGGGTGTCCCAAACCTATCTCAACTTCTGATCCTCATCTCCACCACTGACATCAGGTAAATGCTCTCACAGAACTACTGTGAGAATCAAAGCAGCTCAAGAACATACACCTATTTTCATGAACTGCGCTAAATGCAGCAGGTAACTGCCACAGCTAAATCACTAAAAAGCCTTCAGCAGTAGACCCTACCCCAAGCAATTAGGTGGCAATAATGTTATCAAGCCAACAACAAACTTTCCTACTTTTCTCATTCCTATCATGTAAAAGGGGAAAGATGAAATTCATGGAAGAAATTTCCTCCCTCACTCTTAAACAATGTTTCAACCATGACCCCAAAAAACTGGTTGTAGTAGTTTTAGTTTTTTCCCCTCTCACTTACACTGTGGTTGTCTACGTAAAGAAGGAAACATCTTGCTAGCTCTTCCTTTCTAAAAGCACTAAGAAATAAAGATTGTCAAAATGGGACCACCACGTGAAGTTGTCTAAAAGTCTGAGGCTTGGCCATGATAAAGAATGGATGACAACTCGATGTTACAATCAGACTTTTTGAAAATAAAACAGGAAGTGATGGTTACTTCAAAGCCATAACATCATATAGATGAAGCCCATTACTCAAAGGTCTGGAGTCTTTTTTAAAGCACTTCAACATTTCTTGATTACAGCAAGTGACAGCAATGTGCAATAAACTACAACAATGGCAATTGACACTGATTACATTTTGATCAGTTCCTACAATTCAGAACTCATTTGTTACTGAGCTTGTCAGACAAGCCACAGATACATTCAAGAAATCAAATTAAGCACCCTGATTAAAGATGCAATCCTTTATAACTAGGACTAAATAATTCTGTTCTAAAGGCTTTGCCAACCAATTACTTCTGTAACTGAATATTCTGTCTCTCATTAAATCAATTATTTAAATCTCATTTTAACATACAAGTCAGATAACATTTTCAATCAACTTGTTACCGGCAAATCACCATTTTAAAATCCAAGAGGCTTCTAAAGGAAATCTTTTATTTCCAACTGTCTACCAAATTATCATTCTACATTTTGAGAATTGTATTCTTTCCATGGAAAAATAAGCCATCCTTCTAAATTCATGGAATAAAAAATATCTGTCACATCAGAAGCAAATGACTACACAGTGTCTATACTATTAATCCTCTATTAGATTTTCACTGTTTTCAAATAACTCAATCACCCCCAGTAGGCCTTAACAATTGGTGGAGGCATTGGAATTAGGTAGAATTTGTTAAGTTATTTAGAATTCCAACATAAAAATACATTTGGAGTGTTAATTTATATGTTCTGCCATAAATGAGGGAAAATGTGTGTTTCCTTTCTGAGCAACATAAATAAATACATCTTGTGATTAGTTAAAATCTAAACTAAATAGGAACAAAGAATATTTGACTTTTTGTTTGGGAGGATGTTTTGTGCTTGCATTACCATTGGTCATTTCTTCCAAACTGAAACATGCAACACAACCTAAATGCAAAGTTCAGTCTTATGCAGCAGCTAACATCCTATTCGGCATGAACTTGAGGCCAGCTTTAAAGTACTTGAAGAAGCACAATGACTCAGTAAGTTTTGAAAACATGCTTTATAATCAAAATTCAGAATTGTTCAGTTATGTTAGCTCACTTTTGCCCCCTATCCAAATGACTAGTCATCCTGCAAGCAACATAAACATGCTAATATTTTAAAAGCAAAATTCTGAACAATCATTTTTAATGGTTCGATGTCTAAAAATAAATGAAACAATGCAGCTGGCTTTGCAAGTAAGATTTAGAAATAACCACCAAATCCACCAGACCACACGTGTTACTACCTCATAGCCTCACAGGCACTGGCTTCATCCCAGGGTGGGAAAGAACACGCTCCTAAGATAATTCTAACTTGAATCAGTTCTCGTCTACCACTCTCTACTGTTAGCTGTCTTATAGTTCCACCTCATTTACTAAAAAGCCATGATTGCCTCAAAGACATTTTACCCCTTTTTCTCCCTGCCTTCTTCAACTGTTCTATATTTCAACTCACTCAGAGGGGCTTTTTGCTTCTTCTTGTTTTCAGCAACTTAAGCTCAGCTCAGGGCAAAGCTCAGAGGCTGGTGGAATTTCAGAATGCTGTCTCCTGCTCCCAGCATGAAGGAAATGCAGAAGGCCAATAACTCCCAGCACCCAGGAGGAAAATACCAGCCCCCTCTTCAGCTGGCCTGAGGGAGCTTTAATGAGTTCTCCATCGAGACAGTTCTTGGGTCAATGGTTTTCACTATTTCATGCTGATGTGAGACAGAAGATGAGGAAAAGGAAGGGGAAGAGTAGGATGGGGAGGAAGAGGAGGAGGAGGACGAAGGGGACAGAATGGATGGGGAGGAAGAAAGGAAGAGGAGGAGCTGGAGGAAGGGTCTGAAAGTAAGAGGAGTTGAGAGAAAAGAGGATAACGGAGAGAAACGTTTTTCTCTATTTTAGTCTTTAATGTGAAGGAGAAAATAAACCACGAAAAGAAGACAAGTAACGAGAATATGCGGCAGAGTCAAGCACATGTTCTTTCTTTAGAAAACCCCACCACATTTTACATGTGAGTATTTAAAGAACACTTAAAACATTTTACACAGAAAATGCAAAACATTTTATGTAAAAATAGCAATCATTTTTAAAAACTAAAATAAATAGCTCTCAAGAGCTAAAGCAAATCAAGGAAGTGCTGCTTGAAAAATGCGATGGCTTAGAACTTTTTCTCAGACGCTTAAAAATTCAGATTAGTTTTCATTTTTAAGAAGAAAAACAGCACAAACAAAATGGGCTTTGAAAAAAAATTCAAATTTGAAATAAACATGTTACTTTCAGGAATAATAATAGAAGGTGCCAATTGGCTAAAAAAAAAACAAAATTAAAAATTTGGCAGGTCCACCCATTTTGTTTTGTCTTGCTTATTTTTTCTCTTTAGAGAAACAACGTACAGAGGCAAGAAAAGTTGAAGCTATCTATGGGATTCCATACACATGAATTTCCAAAACCCTAAAACACGTTTTTGGAAAATGTATTAAATTATTTCCATTTGGACACTTAAATAGAAATAATGTTAAGGAAACCTTAAACTGATTAGGAAACTAAATACATCTACTTTGTCAAGAGTAATGTTTGTGTTGGTAACAAAGTAACAAGAAAACAACATTAATGCAAATCCAGTTTTTTATCCACAATGTTAAATTCATACTAGGGATTATTTAGATTAATAAAAACAAATTTATACTGTACAGCCCTCTTACATGAATTATTTAGTCAGGAAATAACAAGTCAGGATCTTTCTCTCATGCCGATTCTCAAACTTCCTGTTTGCAGAATATTACTGAAAACATAGCCTTTCTTTTGCCAGCAACTTGAATGAGGTTGTGACACACTTGCATCCTGGCTTCTCTAGTCTGATGCTATGGAAAGCAAGGACGGTTTCCAGGTCACGAATTTTTGGAGGGGATATTTAAAACATCTCGTAAGCTAAGAACTGTCTTGGGACATGCCCCAGGAGGAGGGAACCTATCACCTATGTTTGACAGTGTCCTGTGTGTAGGGTTTTATGAGATTACGAACAAATTTGGACCTAGCTTAGCATGTTGGGGTGACTACAGAAACACTCTTGTTCAAACTTTCCTTGAACATGAACAAGAAGGTGACAGAAAATAATGCCAGGATCCTTAATGGCCAATTTATCACTAAAATGTACCTTTCAGGCCAAATCTTCCATTTTGATACCAACAGAGTTTTCTAGTTCTAATCACTGTAACACTGTATTGGAAACGAGAGAAGTGTTTCTAATTTTAAAATTAAGTAAAAACAGATGCTGCAGCCCCATTAAACTCTTCCAGCTGCTACTGAACCCCTGGCAACCTGAGTCTATTTAATTTGGAGCCCAATAATGGTAAAAAGGAAAATACGTCTGCCAGAATCACACACCCAAGACAACTCGAGAGAGGCAGAAAATGAAAACAGCTCATGAAAGGAAATGTATTCTAACAGGGCTCTCCAAATGACAACGGCCAATTTTTCCTGTGGTTAATAGCTAAAAAAGGTGGTTGCTTATGAAATCCTTAATTCAAAGACAGCCAAACAAGCAAGTGCTATCCATAACATGTCAATGGACTTTGCTCACCTTAGTTTATGCTTTCTAGAAATGAGTCTTTGCTACAAAGCCTTAAGATGCAGACAGGTTTAAAAGCATTCACAGCACACCTGAGGGCACTGCTAATATTCATTAATTAAAGTGAGTTACTGAATAAATTAATATGGAGCAAGGTCAGGATGACAGAATGGTCTGAGGAGCTATCATCACTCAAGACGCAGCAGGCTTTGTGGCAGGGGAGAAGTGGTGTGTCTTACAGGTGGCACTGAACTGACAACAGTGCGTAATGGAAAAGTGCTTTGTCATTCACATAACGTCTGGGGTAATGAAATGAATTCACTTTCTGGCTTCCTCTAGTCTGCAATGCCAAAGAACACTGTGTTATCAGCACAGATGGAGCAGGCATGGTTCTGGAGAAGCGCCTGGTGCAAACTACAAACAAGCCACTGTGCATACCAATGAATCCCTGAGACTCAAACCCTTGCTGTCAAATGACAGTTTGGGAAGCTCCATAAAAATGACTGAGTCCCAGTGGTCTTGTCCAACCAAATGTACTGTCAAGATTCTGGACAGGCAATTTGGAAGTCATGCAAATCACAGAGGCCTGAATGCCACTTTGCTGTGGGAAGCAAGCAATGGGAGACATTTGCCCAGGAACCAGCCCATGAGTCTCATTTTTTTTCCCCTTTACCTTTTAATAAATAACGACAAAGGAGATCATCTAAAGTGATGCAAATGCTAATCTGACAGTGTTAAGTGTCTGTCTCTGCTCAGGAGACAGTTCATCTCACAGAAGAATGGGTTTACCGGTATGAGGTACATTACTATGAAATATTAAGTTGTGAAATCAATGAGCATAAACAAATCAAGGAAAAATGATTAGAAAAGAGGCATACCCATCAACATACTCAGAAGTCTCTGGACCTTTGAACTCACCCCCACAACTCTGTACAATCCTTGGTCATTTATACCTATTGGGAGAGACACAATGTTAGCAAAATACAAGACTATTATATTTCAAAGGTAGTCATCATTAAACAGTGGCATCAGAATCTTTGCTAACTCACATTAGCAGCATTCCTGTTGAAGACGAAAATAACACGACGAAAGTAAGTGTTTACCAACTTGTTTTACCAGCTTTGTATTCTTGAGCTGTGGTTGGAAAAGAAGCTAGAAAACAATGTTCCATGTGCACAAAAATGTAATGAATCAACATTAACTGAAAGTCAAACACCAGCGGTTACATTAAAATCCATCCCAATGCAATTTGTAAAGATCCATCCAAGCGTTTGGGTTTTTTTGTTTATTTACATTTTTCTTGGAAAGTTTTAACCTTTTAAAAATATGATTAGTAATAAAAAGCAATCATTGGATGATTCCTTGAAGACTTGGAAATTCAGTCAAAAATAAAGAAGAAATGAACTTTAAAAAACCATACTATGCCCTGCCCAAGTGGGCATCATTACCCACTTTACTGTAAAATAAACCAACTCAACGGATCATCTCTCTGCAGAGATCTAAACATCAGGTGTCCTTGAGCTCAACAGTCAGAGGCAAGAAAAGTTACTGTCCAACATAACCTAGAGTACTGACCAGCTGCCCTTATTTGGATTCTGATCAAAGCAAGCTTATTATAAATAACATTTTTGAAGCAATAGTGAAATTCTGAGGGGCATTAAGCTTATGCAATAAAAATGCCTATTTAAGGTTGTATCCTGAAACAGGTGGAAGTAACCTATCTTAGATTTGCTCTGAGGAGTAGAAAGGGATGGATGAAGTGACCATGGTCAAAGCTACACAACTGCTGCCTTGGTGATGAGACTATGGGAGCTCACTTTATCAATCTCCCCACGGATTTACACTTGAAAACGTCTGCCTCATCCCCCCTTCTTCCCCCTCCTCCTCTTTCTCTCCTCCTCCTCCTCTCTCTAGCTCAGCATGAACTTCTGCACTATGAATGCTAAAATAAGAACAGAACAAGCTGACAACTCCTATCTCCAAAGTTTCCACAACAAAATAAGGCACAACAAAAAAGCCATTGAACTTGCAAAGGGCTTTAACATTCTTCTTGCCTCCTTGACTAGGATAAGAAAAGAATACTTGACCAAATCTAAGGCAGTGATTTCAGAGATTTCAATGATACAGACAGTCCGCTGGGGCACATGTGCCACAAGTTTGCCACCATTTGTTTAGGGACTGTGTTTGAGTCTAACTCACTGCACAAGTTCAGGAAACCTCTGAGTCCAGATGCTACTTTCAATTTCAAGGGCAGCATCATACACCTTATGCTATGCTGGGACGGAAACAAGATGATTCCAACACATATCCTATAAATTACGATGTTATGCGCCTGCACAACCTTTCTTTACTCCTTGCTAAGATCAAATCTTTTTCTCCTTTTTATTGATTCACCCTTATTCACCTTTTAAGATTCTCAAATGTCCTAGTCTTCCTTTGGTTATGGGCCAAATTGTGACTTCCTAAAATCTGTATGTTTAAGTCCTATCCCCCAGTATCTCCGAATGTGACTGTATTTCAAGATAAGGTCTTTTTAAAAAGTAATTAACTTAATACAAGATCAGCAAGGTGTTCCTTAGTTAAATTCAATTGGTGTCCTTAGGAGACAACACTTAGAGACAGTGATAGAAAGAAGACCACATGAGAACACAGGAAGGAGAAAAATCAGGAGAAAGGCCTCAGAAGAAATCAATCTTGCCAAAACGTTATATTGGGCTTCTAGAACCCCACAGATGCTTCATCGTGACAGTTTAGAAAACTGATTCATACACCTTTCTCAACGCTCTCACTTGATCTCAAAGGAAGAGGAGGAGGAGAGCACAAGTGACTCTCTGGCCCTGTAAGAGTCTGCTCAGAAAGCTGAAGAATCCAGCAGCAGATATAACCTTCCCGTGGAGACACACTCAGGCCACAAAAGAGGAACATAAGGCAGTACAACCCTGCCAGCAGTTAGAAAAAAAGACAAGCAAATTGCCAAAAAACAAAACACAACTCTAGAGCCTGCTAAAGGAGAAAGACTGAGCCTCTTCCAGGAGCCAGAGAGTGAGCCCGCCTAGTTTAGGACACCAGGGGATTTGTTCAATACAACTCTATTTAACAAATTTGACCTCAGTGCCAGAAGCCAAAAGAGCAAGCAATGAACTGCAGTCAAACATGTGCCTCTGTGAAAGGTGCTTGAAGTACACGGAGAAATGAAATAAGAATGTTACTTCAGCAATAATAATCACTCTATGCCGGTAATTACTATCAGATAATTGATCAAGTTCAAATTCATCAACCTGAGAGAAGGAAAGTTAATTGCTAATGCATAATGAAAGGTGCGAGGTGGAATTAAAGCTGCTCAACAGTTTTTCTTTTTTTTATTGAAATTTAAATAATGCTCCTACAAAAGCTGCTTGGAAATGGTATACAAAATAAGTAAGTCTTACAGGATTTTTATTTCCTATTATACTGTTCTTAAAGGCTCTGGACTACAAAATAAGAATTGGAACATACATCACATCCAGGAACACATACGTAGTCACACAAAACTGTCAATTACAGGAAAGAACACGAACCCACCGCCACCAAGTTATATTAATGGATTTATTTATCACATCCCTGCCAGCTTTTCCAAACAGTCTTCTTTCAAAGAATCACTCCTTCCTTCCTTCCTTCCGTCCTTTCCTTCTTTCCTTCCTGTCTGTCTGTCCATGTTTCTTCTTTCTTTGTTTCTGTGGGGAATCAAATTCAGACCTCATGCTAGCCACGCAAGCACTGTGCCACTGAGCCATATCCCCAGCAGAATCATTATTTCTAGTGAAAACAGCTTTACTTTTTCCCTGTCACTTTCCAAATTCAAGGGGTCAATGTCCACTCTTTCTTTAAAAGCTACAGATTAATCTCTGCCTCCTCAACGCAGCTTTGAACTTTATGCCCATACGTTCAAGAATCCCTGCCAAGAAACACACAATGCTAATCCACTCCCAAAGCCACCTTCTCTTCCTTTGGTCGTTCACACCACTTTCCCATCTGTGGTCCTCCACAGCCCACTTTAACAGTGAAGGACAAGTCAGATCAGGTTGCGTTCCCCACTGTAACAAGCACGTGGGGCTGAAACACAGGGGCACCAGCTACGGCCCCACCCCATCTACTCACTCCTCCCAGTGTTCATTCACCATAGAGCAGACCGCTGTCACCCCAGGACAAGCAAGTTCACCCCTCCTTTGTGATTATATTCAGGCTGACGGCTCCCCCAGCAGGCACACGCTACCCCTCATTTTCACAAATTTACTCTCATCTGCCACATCTATTTACTCCTCAAATACCTGCCACATGCAATTCTAGCTGCCCAAGACTGAGCGGAACAGTAAAATACAGCTCCATTTAACCCGTCAAATGAAATCCCTTTCCTGACACCTGCCCCCAGAATTGTTATTTTCCCAGAATTCCTCTTAATCCAGTATTTATGCCACGTAATTCCATCATCTTAGTTAAAATTCTAAAAAAATATGACTTCACGTATCTGTGTGCACATACACTATGACGCACGGCCAACATCACCTTTAAAATTTTGTTTAAATCTACATTTCAAAATGCACCAACCCATAGTATTTTTAAATAAAAATAGAGAACCCTTGTTTTATCCTCATACCCCACCCACACAATGCAGAGACACAGTACCTGGAAAGATACTAGGCCAATCTAGTACCTAACTTAACTATTTTTTCCCTGTGGTTGCTTGCACAGAGTAGGTAGAGGCAAAAAAGCTATGGCTACATCAATGTGACTTGAACCTAGCTGAGAAGTATCGCCCCCTCCTGTGTGCATGTACTCTCTCTCTCTAATATGTATATATACAAATATATGTACTCGTGTATCTACGGACACATCAATAGATCTATAGAGTCACTGTTTCTACTCATAGAATGTTAGAAATGTGAAGTTAGCTTTAACTTTTTTCCTGTCACTTTCAAAATTCAATATCTATATGACTATATATGTATTTCATATATACGTTTGTAGACATATCTAAGTATATTTAGAACTATATAAATGACCTAAATAAAAATCAAGTTCTGAACTGAAAGTCAAAATATCCAAAGGATTGTAACTTACTTGGAATATAAATATAGGTATCAGCAATGGACATCATTAATAAAATACTTTCTGACCTTTCACATAAATGTGTCACCTTGACAAAGTGTTTATAGACCCAAATGTTTTTTACTAAATGAAGTTGGTATCGCTTCTCGGCCTTTTGGCTAAGATCATGTGTACTAAATGAAGTTGGTTCTGAAGGGTAGTAAGGGTAAGCTGCTCTCCATCTCAGTAAGGCGCAGCTGATATCAGCTGTCCCCTGGCAAGATGGATGCAGAGAAATCCAATGTGGCTCACTTCTACTTCCTATATCCTCCAATCTGCCACAGCGCTGTCATCAGGTGAAACATACATCTTCCCTGGAGACAGGGTCAGAGTTTCAGCAGCAATAGTACTGCCCACTTGTTTGCTTTTCAGAATCCAAGTGATATCACCAGAGCCAGAGTCCATTTGGCTCCGGAGGATACCGGCACAGAACTGCTGACCTCTGTGGGCACCCCACAGGACCATGCATATAGACCAGTGGTGGGAAACCTACAGCACACATGCCACAGTGGGCTGTCTGCATCACTGAAAGCTCTAAAAGGTACATCACTGCTCTAAGCAAAGAAGGAATTATTATAAGGGTTAGATGCAAAAGGAAAATAAGATTTAGGAGGGCTTATGAATTCATTTAAACAGTGGAACTGGGGGCAAACATTGGAGGGGCTGTGCATTAGTCTGTGTTCTGCTGCTATCACAGAATTCCTCAGACCAAATGATAATGCACAGAAATTTACCTGGCTTATAGTTCTAGAAACTGGAAACCCCAAAATCCAAGAGACATATCTGGTGAGGAGCTTCTTGCTGTTTCCCCAAGGTGGAAGGTAGCAGT